ACTTTATAAATCTTGGATATTAGTTCCTTATTGATATATGATAACCAAATATTTTTTTTCAGTTCAGTAGGTTCTTTTTACTTTTAGTGATAGTTTCTTTTGTTGTGCAGCCATTTTCTAGTTTGATACGATGTCATTTGCTTATTTTTGCTTTTGTTTTCCTTGTCACTACAGTTGAGTTTCCAAAGACATCAATGAAGCCAGTGCTGGGAAGTGTCTTGCCAATGTTTTCTTCTATGTTTTTGGTTTCAGAGCTTACATCCTAATCTTTGACCTATTTTAATTTATCTTTTGTGGGTGGTATGAGATAGTGGTCTAGTTTTAATTTTTCATGTAACTGTCAACATCATTTGTTGAAGATATTTTCCTTCCTCCATTTTATATTCTAAGCTCCTTTGTCATAAATTAACTATCTTCATAAGTGTAGATTTATTTCTGGACTCTCAATTCTATCATTGATCTATGTCTATCATTATTCTAATATTATGCTCCTTTTATTACTATGGCTTTGTAGTATGGTATGAAGTATGGGAGTATGGTACCTTTATTATTTTTGTCAGAATTGCTTTGGCTATTTGGGGTCTTTTGTGGTGCCATATATATTTCAGTAATTGTTGCTCTGTTTCTTTGAAGAATGCCATTGAAACTTTGACAGGGATTAAGACATGCCCATTTTTTTTTTAAGATTTATTTATTTGTGCATACAGAACTGGGGTACAGGCCAGAAGCTCAGGGGCAGCGAGAGGCCTCACCAGAGACAGAGTGGGGAGCAGAACAGGCAGATCTACGAAGTACACTGCTGAGGGGAGCAGCGGGTGGGTCAGGAGAGGTCTGCTGCGCCATGTGGTCACCTCCGGGGCAGGCAGGGATTGAACTAATGCAGAAGAGGCTTTAGTTTCTTAGTGTAGTGCTTTAACCCGCTGCGCCATCAGGGAGGGCCAAGACATGCCCATTTTTTAATGCTCCATGATCTCATCTTGAGATCTTTAACTTATTTACATCTTCAAAGATCCCCCTTTTCTTCAAATAAGGTCATATTCACAGGTTCCAGGGAATAGGGCATGGGCATAAGTTTGTGAAGGCCACTGTCCGACCCACTGTAGGCATGGTGTGACTAGTCTTTGTGACTTTGCTTCCTCCCAATGAGTGGAAGGATGATCTATACATGTATAACACTGTCTCCATGTGGTACTGAGGAACACGAAAGTTCTGCTTTTATTTTCCAAATAATCTCATGTAAACTAAGTCTAAAGGACACTATGGTCCTTATGAAACTTTTGGCTTCATAACATTTTAAGAATATTCTCACTATTGGACATAATGCATACATTTGATTACCTAGTATTGGAATCTTTTGTTTCTTCGCCCCACTTGTTTGTGAGACCCTTGAGGGAAGTGATTGTTTCATGCCTCCAATTTTACCCTCATGACTGGCAACTATGTCATTTATGGCTTTCCTTGAAGCACTTCTTATTATGCTATAAGGGGTCACAATAATAATTTTCTGTTATTTTTAAAAAAGATTTATTTATTCATACAGAACTGAGGTATAAGCCAGAGGTGCAGGGGTGGTGAGAGGATTCACCAGAGACAGAATAGGGAGCAGGACAGGCAGACTGATGAAGTGCATTGCTGAGGGGAGCAGCAGGTGGGTCAGGAGAGGTCTGCCCACCACATGGATCACCTCCAGGTCCGGGGATCGAACTCACACTGAAGCGGCTGTGGCTAGCTGTGCTGTGTCCTAACCCATTGTACCACCAGGGACGGCCCCAAAATTTTCTGTTTTTTTAATCTGATTAAAATTTGATTCATTAAAAACTGATGAATTGCTTCTGAAAATTATTTTTTAAAAGATGCTGGGTAAAAATAAAAAACAACATTTATTGTATAAGTTTTGGGTAGCTGCTGGTGACACAAGATGGGAAGTTTCAGCTCTTATACTTAATTGCTCAGTCTGTTGGGGGAATCCATCCAAACAACTACAGTGCAACTACCATAATAAAGTCATAAATGAAATATTATGAAAGCAAAAAATAGGGAGTAACTAGTTGTTTTGGGGTGCTTAGAGGTGGCTTCAGAGAGGTGACATTTAAAATGAGTTTCGATGGATAAGTAGGTATTTTCCAGGAAAAGGACATTCCATAGAAAGATGAAACCAGTAGGGAATCCTGCTGAAATCATAATAGCAATATCAAGAACAAAAATTCAGATGAGTTTCAAGAAAAGAGAGAGTTTTACAGATGCAGAAAGAGGCAAGGAAGTAGTTAACTATGCTCTGTGAACGGGTTTGGCACTAAGTGTACACATAAAGAAAAGAATGAAGTCAGAAATGCCACAGGGCTATCCCTCAGCAGGCCCTGGGTCTTTCTTTAAAAAATGAGGTGTCTGTACTTTTCAGATGTACACTGGAAATGTGGCCTGGGTATTCTCCATGACAGGCTGTAAATCTATATTTCAGTCAAGACTTAACGCTTTTAGAGTAACATATAATGCTTTTGGAACCCTCAATTCTTCCCTGCCACACACACACACACACACACACACACACACACACACACACACACACACACATTTTTTTTCTAAGAAAAAAGAATCCCCTTTAAAAAGTGACACAGCAATGCTGGATTTAGCTCATTTTAACAAACGTCACAGCATTTTTGAGTACTAAACATGATTACTATATTTTTCCAGTATATAGATGTTTGGCAAACATGCCATTATCACTGGAATAAATATCACTAGAACTCCAGGGGAGAATGAAAACTGTGGGCTAGTGAAGCCTGTAGGTATCTGTGAAGAGGCAGATGAATCCTGTTTCTCCTTAGCCACAGCCAATAAGAGAATCTAGGGGAAAAGTTCCCCTTTCCTTAAATCACCAGACTATTGAGCAACTTGAGAGCTTGTATGGTCTACTGGTTTCAATTTGGCCTTAGAAACCAAATGGGTAATAGAAGATTTATTTGAGAAGCTGCTGTAAAGAATCTAAAACTCCTCTCAATTGCAATTTAGCAGCACCTGGATTGTATTCCAAGAATATTTCGCTCTGTGATGATAGTATCAGCAATTAATATACTTGTATTTTTAAAGCTTTATTCTTTGGGGAGGGGAGCTACTCCACCCATGGGAGAGGTCAGCTAATTAATTTCTGTAATATTTAAGATTAGACTGTTGCATATTTTATGACTTTCAAGATTATGGTGATTATTAAGTCGCTAAAATATTAAATCACTTTTGCAAGAACTCCTGTAAGGAAATGATAGAAAATAGGTAAGGAATGCAGATCTTGGACACTGAGATGTGTTTCCATCTCTGTGCCAAGACAGAACCCTCACAAAAGTGCCTGGTTTCAAGCAGGAAGGAAAAAAAGAAGCCCCAATATCAACAGATAAATAACTCACTTCAACAGTCTAAGGGACTCCTCATTATATTAATATGAAATTATCCATATCTCTGGAACTTGAAGGTAAGTTCTCACTAGCTATGAAATCAAAGTTTGCATAAACACTGTGGTGTAGTGAAAAAATCCTCACACTTGAAAATTGGATTATGATATTGTCCTTTTTACTTCTTAGCTATATTATCATGTATAAGGCAGTTGGAACCATGGAATTATAATTTTCTCAATTTTGAAACAAAAATATTAATAATAATTATGACTGAAAACTCCATTATCTTTCACTTGAACCACTGTAGCTGACTTCCAGTTGGCCTCCTCTATTTTATTCTTGTTCCTTTACTGTCTCTTCTTCATAAAGCTATTAGTCATCTTTTAAAATTATAATTCAGATTGTGTCATTGTTTTTGCTAAAACCATTTGTATTTAGAATAGAATGTAAATTCCGTGGTAGGACCTAAAAGATACTATATAAGATGCTTCTTGCTCACCTGTTTAGCATCTCCCCAGAGTGCCTCTTATTCACTGAACTCCAGCCACACTGACCTTACTGCCTATCAACCAGACAAGCTTACATCTCATCTAGGCCTTTGCCCTGCCCATTCTGTCATCTGCTGGGTTCTGTGTAATTTCTGGATGACGGCTCCATTTACTCTTCAAATATTGACTGTCCAGAGAGTTCCTTTCTAACCATTTTATGAAAAATATCATGGTTCCAATAGATTCTCCAAAAATTGCAATAATTTTTGCCTCCATGGTAATTATCACAATATAAATTAATCTTGTTTAAACTAAGTTTGTTGTTTGATTTATTGTCAGTTTTTCCCCACTAGACAACACTTTGCAGGTGGTAACATTTTATTTACTGTTTTTATATTATACTCACAGAGTTTAGAAAAATACTGGGCACTTAGTAAATATTTGTTGGATGAATAGAAGAATACATTTAAATACAGCAAAGCATATGCATAACTCTACTCTCACTCTTGAGGACTTACTAGTAGGGCATACTCTTGGCTACTAGGAAATAATAATATTAATGGTTAATATTTAGTGCTATTAGCTATCATTTTAAGTGTTTTTAATGAAGCAACTAATTTACCAACCTTCAAAGATATGTCCTAGTAGTATTCTATATTTGTAATGAGGACATTGAAGAACAATGGCTAAGTCAACAAATGAACAAAACTGGTAAGTGGTGGAACTGGGATTTGGTGCCACAGGCAACTTGGTCCCTCAGGGATAATCACTATTAATTGGGGACTCAAAATTGCTGTCTTAGTCTAGTGTTCAAATCTTCCAACAATCTGACATTAACTCTTTCAATCAGTTCTTTCAATTCATTCATTCATTTATTTAATATTCATTTAACCTAATTGAGCATCTACCTATGCCAGGCATTAACCTAGGTTTTGGGACTAGAGAGCTGAATGAGTCAGGTCTTTTGGAGGAAGAGGTGAGGGATAAAGAAATATGGATATTGATACACTCTCTGCATAATCAAACTTCACAAATTGGAACAGAAACTTTACTTATTTTGCATCCCAAGATCTTTCTTTCATGATAAATGACAGACCTCAGTATTTACAAGATATCTTTCAGTTACCTGATTTCTCCAAACACTGCCCCAGCTTTTAGCGTTACCAGAACTTGAGCACCATCAGAGCCTCCAAGAACTTGGACTTCTCCTTGCTTGATGATATACATTTCCTTGCCAATTTCTCCCTATATGCCAAATATGGAGAGGAAATGGCAACTTATTCTTGGCTATAATGCCCCAAATTAAGAAATATAAATTTTTTAGCATAAGTAATGAAGGGGTAATAAAACTAATTGCCTTAAGTAGTCTTAAGACCAGAGTTACTTAAAGACATTTGTTGAAATTAGTAGGAAAGTGTGAAAGAAAATTACTGGGAGTGATACTTCACAATACTTGCACACTGTATGGGACCACTGAACATTTGAAGATATTTCAGTCAGCACATTGTTTCAGAGACTGGCATAGGTGGAAGAAATAATTCCTAGTAAGCCTGGTTGCCCTGGCTAGGGTGACCTCTTGTTTACTTTGAAGAAAGTGTTTAGTTTATGCCTTATTCTTCTGCCTATAGCATTGAGGCTATTACTAATTGTGGCACAAGAGACCTTTAAACTATTATTTTACTCCATATTGAGAGGAAAGTGTTAACACAGCAGGTTGTTTTATTCAGTTCTTACTTAACTCTGGGGATTCGCAGAGCTAGCGCAATGACCGTTGTTTAAGTCCTGAGAGGTACATTCTTAAATGCTCACAAAGCTTTTGTGTGTTTGCAGCAGGGTGGATAGATGTACTAGGCTATCAATATTGTTTAATATAAACACATGATTTATGATGTGTACTGGTGTCCAGTTTGGGTCTGAAACAGGGCTGGTCATATGACCAGGCTCTTTTAAGAACTAGACCGCAAGCCTCAGATGGGCTTCCCTAGGTTGTCACTCTGGTCCAGAGGTGGTCCAAAAATGATTCCATGTGTCTCTCTCAGAAAACTGGGAAATCTGTATCTGGTTTCTCTAGCTTACGTGTATATATATTGCTTTTCCAGCATTTTATGCTTTGCTATAATAAATCTTATGCCATAAACATGGCTTCATGAATCATGAAAATCATCAAACTTATAAACTAATGCATGGTTGTAGGGCCTTTGAAGCACATCTTATTCCAAGATCCAAAAAGCATATATATGAGTTATAATAGATCTAAATGGCATTTGGGTCATGAAAAATGGTTAAATTCTTAATAAGCCAGTTTGCATAAAACAAGGGAAACTATTGGGATAATAGTAATCACATATCTTAGTGAGTTACTGAGTTATTAAAAGAATAGTGTAAGTCTAATAAAATTACTTAGTTAACTCAGGTTGGGGTTGGGTTATTTGAGTTAGTCAAAGAGCACCATATTGCTAAAAAACTAGATGACAATAAAATTAACTCGGGATTAAACAATGTTGATTACAGTTTATGCTGCTATGACTGACACAACTACTTTGTTCAGTTGTTCAGCTTAGGGTATGTGAGACAAGCACTCATTTTGAATAAAGGAGATCTAATTTTAACCATTCTCTGAGATGTTTAACTCATTCAGCACCAAAGGTTTGCTTCTTGAACATTAACTGTTGTTAGGTTTTAAATGTTAGTTTGGCTTTAAAGTCATCAGACTCCACCTTTTAGTTAACATCTGGGGATTGAAATTCTTTTTTTTTTTACTCTTCACATATATTTATGATGAAGGTAGATTAAACTTTACTATTTCCATTTTACAAAGAAAAAAAAGTACAGACTCCATGATATAGACCATATTTCATGATGAATCTAATATCAAGAATGGTCTCTTAAAAACCAATGAAGTATCTATAGATGATTGTAAAAGTAAGGGCAAGTGCCTGAAAATTAGTTTTCCAAGAGATAATCCAGGAAGTAATGATTAAAAAAGTGTCATATTCCTTATTCTTTGCATGAAGTAATTCTCAAGGAACTAGAATGATTTTTCAAAGGTAGTTATTACAACTGACTGGAGGTAGAAGTGCATAATGGGTACTTAAATATAGTTCAGCACTTTTAATTATTTTTTAATGATCATTTCAATAATTTTCCAAGGAGATGTGGCATAATCAACGAACCAAAACCTCCACAATTTCTTGCATATTTCTAGGCTAATTTAAGCCTTTCTTGCAAGTTTAATTAGCATTCAAATGAAGTAGACATTCCTCAGAGAACAAGGTCTGACAGCATGTGCAAAATAAGATCAAATCAAGCTCTTGTAGCTGGTTTATGTACTAATTTAGAGAAAGTATAGAAATGCAAGAGCTTCATGTAGAGTAGAGTACCCCTTGGTGTGAGAGCTCTTCACATTTTCAGGGCTCCTGTGCAGAAGGCTATTTCCAAGTCTAGAGGGGGTATTCTGACACTGCAGTGTGTCACTTCAGAACCGAACAGTGCCACTCGAAGTGTGCTTCCCGGCCCAGCAGCATCAACATCAAGTAGGGGCTTATTTGAAGGTGCAAATTCTTGGGCTTAACATAGAAATACTGAGTTCTAATCTTTGAGTCAGAGGTCCTAGAACTCTGTGCTTTGACAAGATCCTCCTGTGATTCTTGATTTGTTGTAAACATCCTTGGAAAACTCTCACATGCTTTTTGAAGCAGTCCAGGCTACCCAGCAGAAAATTTAAGGACCATGGTGAGGATGTGGCAGGTCAGTCAACAAATTCAGTCCTTAACCATGCCACTTTTTCAATTATTTAGTCATTCCATTTTCCAATGATGTTATATGGAAATAAGCAAATGCTAAGTTGAATTTAGCTGTCTACAATCTGGTCAAGTAATAGTCTCTCACCTCTGAAATACCTACTTATGACTTAAGTCCCCCTTTAAGCAAAGACACAGAAAGCTATTTGTAGTTCTCATGTCTTTTCATTCCTACTCTCCTCCCTACTTTTTTCTCTCCGTTCATCAGATACCTTAATCTGTTTTTATGATTGAATAATGGATGTGAGGTGAGGGATAAATTAAAAATGAGAAGGCATCTCTTTTGCATTTTTTACTTTGTTAAACAAATTTGCACTCCTTAGTTCATGGGCCCTAAAGTTTTTGTGTTATTTCAATTTTCAACCTCTTCTATTCTGGAACAAATTGAAAGGCCATTTGGTATATAAAGACCATGCTATCTAATTGCACGCATGCTTAGGGCATGATACATAAGCTGAGTTGATTCTTGCAGTTCCCATTTTAATGAAAATCATTCTATATCATCAGCTTGTCTCCTTATAACTTGGACTATTTTGTGTGCAACTGTTTAAGTTTGGCCTCTATCATGTCATTTCACCTCTACTTTCTTATTTTATTTCTTTCTTTAAAATTTTGTTTAATTCTGATCTTTTATTTCTAATAACTCTTTCTCACTTTTCCTCTTGAACTTTTCTTCAAGTACCTCTACCATAAACATTGTTAGCTTCAAAGTCACAGCGTTGGTCTTCTTCTCTTACCTTTCTTTAGCTTCACATGAAGTAAACTTCCATTATGTGGGTCCCAAAGATTTAGTTCCAGGCCATCCTCTGTCATGAACTAGACCGACTTGCATGTATGCAACTTACACCTTCACCTGGATGCCTTAACTTTACTCTATTTGATTTGGTCTATCAGCATTGTCCTAGTTCAGCACTTTCTTCATGAGTGCTTGAAAATGACAATTTCTGCTTTGCCTCACGGTTCCAACTCTTCATCTAAAATGTTGTCATCTTCAATTTCATACTAAAGAACTTTTTTCTCTTTAGTTTTACAAAGTTAAAAGTTGAAATTTAATGTTACTTTTGTAAAATCTAAAGAGACAACCTGAAAACCTCTCCTCCCAACACCCTGCTCTAAATTAAGTGCCTGTGTGACTACACATCCTCCTGGAAAGTTCTATTTTCCTTTATAGAAGTCAGCACATTTTGAAGTTACACATGCATTTAATCTCATTAGCTTACTGCTGGTCTCTTTCACAGACCAGTGATTTCCAAGTTTGGTTGTATTTTAGAATCATCTGGGAGCTTTCAAAAAATATTGATAAGTGGGCTCCACTGAGACAAATGAATCACTGGGCATGAAGGGATGAAATTCCATCAGACTTTGAAATTCAGGTGATTTTGACAAACAATGTGAAGTGAATACCCTACTACCCTAGTATTGGTTATAAGCCCTCTCTTCTTCCCCAAGAGGAAAAGAATCATCTTTTTTTTTTTTTTTTTGCTCATTGCTCAGTACCCAGCACAGTGCCTGACCTATAGCATTAAAAATTATTTATTGGCCCTCCCTGGTGGCGCAGTGGGTTAAAGCGCGGCACTAAGAAGCTAAAGCCATTTCTGCATGAGTTCAATTCCCGCCTGCCCCAGAGGTGACCACATGGCATGGCAGACCTCTCCTGACCCGCCCGCTGCTCCCCTCAGCAGTGTACTTCGTTGATCTGCCTGTTCTGCTCCCCGCTCTGTCTCTGGTGAATCCTCTCACCCTCCGCATCTCTGGCCTGTACCCCAGTTCTGTATGCACAAATAAATAAATCTTAAAAAAAATTGTTTATTGATTTTTACTGTCTAATTATACTAAAATTGTTCCGGCGTGTGACTTATTCTAGTCACTGCATTCCCTCTGCAGATTTAATTCCGTTCCTTCTGCCTTACTTCAAGATAATTCTTTCTTCTATCTGGAATGCTTCTTTCCTCTTTCACTGGTTTTGCATTAAATCATTTTTTTTTTAACATTTAGCTTAAATATTATCTACAGAAGTCTTGCGAGTACAAGAGTCCCTGATCTGTGTCCCTCATCAGCCTGTACTTAATTCTAGTATTTTAGACATGATTTTGGATTGCTACATGTGCTTCTTACCCTCACTTGATTGAGGGTTTTGGATCAGCTTTCACTTCTTTAAACAGCTAATCTGTCATTTTTATTTTGATTATTGATTTCACTCATGATATAACTAGATACAAAATCAAGGTCATTGTTCCTTCTCTTGCCCTATAGTAGTATAATCACAGTAGGGCAAAAATGTTCACTTTTATAGCAACTTTTAATAAGCATTTGGAAACTGATTTTAATATATCCTTCACTGGAATATTATAAAGTTTTAAAAAAATGAAGTTGTAAAATATTACTTAATAATATGTAAAATGTTCATATGCTATATTGTTATGACAAAATAAGCTTCGGGATGTAAGTACAGTATGTTGCCAATTTTATTTTATTATTATTTAAAAATAATTTAAATTTATTTATCCATATAAGAGATGGACTGTAGGCCAGAGGTGCAGGGGGGAAGAGTGAGAGGATTCACCAGAGACAGAGTGGGGAGCAGAACAGGCAGATATACTGAAATACACTGTTGAAGGGAGCAGCAGGCAAGACAGAAGAAGTTTGCTGCACCATGTGGTTAGGTCCCTGGCTGGGGATTGAATTTGTGCTGCAGTGGCTGCTGATAGCTTCATAGTAGTTAAGACTTAATCCCTTGCATCACCAGGAGTCCTTGTTGCAAAATTTATAAAACAAGCCCTATTTAACCATCAATCATCAATGAAAGCTTGAACTATATTACAGTGGTTATTTCTGGGTAGTAGAAATTTTTGCCTTTGTCTTTTCTTTTTTAAAAAATAATGAACATGTATTACCTTTGTAATAATGTAAAATACAGTAAACTAAAAAAAGTGGCACTGATTATCCATTAATCAGGTGAACTGAATGAAGATAACTGGTAGTTTGCTGAAGACATGAAAAGAGCAGTAGCACATTTATTTCATAACTTTTTACTCTAATTTATTATTTAGAATTAATGAGGTGTGGTGGTTGCTGATTTACATTTATACAATACAATTTCAAACCACCCACACTTATATCCTATAATATAGGTAATGAAATCCATACTGTCTTGTTCTTTTTGACCTCTGAGAACATATCATTGTTTTACAAGATAATGTATCATAATTATTTCTATACTATGAAATTCACTCTGGATAATTTCTGTTTATACTATGCTATTGGCCTTTGTCTGAACTCCTGAAGTGTATTTATCTACTTGTCAAGCATTTAAAAAACAGCATGTACTCACCTTTTTGCAGACAAAGTCACCAGGTAAATACAGAGTGGATTTCAATCTTAGCAACATATCATAGATCATCTGTGTATCACAACCCTAAAGAAAAAATAGGAAAGAGTGAAATGAGTCTTATAAAGTTAAAAGATCAATAATCTAAATTATTTTAAAATGCAATGGAAATAAGCTATAATATCGATAGTAAGAATTTATCAGGGGTGCCTCTTCCTGGTGGAAAAGGGGCTAAGTCTCAGCACTATAAAGCTCTCCGTAGCCACTGCAGCATGAGTTTGTTTTCCCAGCCAGGAAGCTGACTCATGGTGCGGCAGACCTTTCCTGTCTCATCCGCTGCTCCCCTCAGCAGTGTATTTCAGTAGATCTGCCCATTCTGCTCTGTCCTCTGTCTTCAGTGAATTCTCTCACCCCTGCACCATTGCCTGAACCCCAGTTTTTGCATGCATGCATAAATAAATCTTTAAAAAGTTAAAAAACAAGAACTGATCAGTAGTATATAAAGACCCTGTTGGTGGGAATGTAGACTGGCCCAATCCTTATGGGAAACAGAAAGATTTCTCAAAATATTAGAAATAGATCTACCGTATGACCCAATAATTCCACTCCCACACATTTACCCAAAGAATGTGAAAACACTAATTAGAAGGAATACATGCCCTCCTATATTTACAACAGCACTACTTACACATAGGTTATGGAAGCAACCTATGTGCCCAACGACAAAGGGGTGGAGTTGGAAGATGTGGTATATATACACAGTGGGTACTACTTGGATAAAAAATATCAACTCTTGCGGCCCTCCCTGGTGGCGCAGCGGGTTAAAGCACTGCCCAAAGAAGCTTAAGCCACTTCCGCATGAGTTCGATTCCCGCCTGCCCCGGAGGTGACCACATGGCGAGGCAGACCTCTCCTGACCTGCCCGCTGCTCCCCTCAGCAGTGTACTTCGTCGATCTGCCTGTTCTGCACCCCACTCTGTCTCTGGTGAATCCTCTCACCCTCCGCATTTCTGGCCTGTACCCCAGTTCTGTATGAATAAATAAATAAATCTTTAAAAAAAAAATCAACTCTTGCTATTTGCAACAGTATGGACAGAACTGAGGGGGATTTTGCTACACGAAATATCAGAAGTAAAAAGAAAAATACTCAATAGTGTCACTTAGATGCCTTGTGATCACATAGAACCCTCTTAGCAAAAACACAAATGAATTCTGCATTGATCTTATGATCTCCTCCACCAAGGAAAATAGTGCCCTTGATGATTAAAAATTTCATTAGAATTATACTGGAAGTTCCTAACCATTAACATGGAATATTATTGAAGCCAACTCCCAATCATTCATGTCCTTGAAGAAAAATAACTATTGTAAATGATTAAATATAGAAGGTCTTAAAAAACCCATTTATATTACTTTCATATGCATGATTTGATATTCCGACATTAAGTTTTACAATCCTACTAATAATTTATACATTAAAAATAAACTTTTAAAATATATATATATATTTTTAAATAAACTTAGAGGGTCCTCCCTGGTGGTGCAGCAGGTTAAAGCACAGCATTAAGAAGCTAAAGCCACTTCAGCATGAGTTTGATCCCCACCCTGGAGGTGATCCACATGGCATGGCAGATCTTTCCTGACCTGCCCGCTGCTCCCCTCAGCATTGTACTTAGTTGATCTGTCTGTTCTGCTTCCCACTCTGTCTCTGGTGAATCCTCTCACCGCCCCTGAGCCTCTGGCCTATACCCCAGTTCTGTATGCATAAATAATAAATAAATCTTAAAAAAACAAAAAAAAAACCTTAAAAAATAAAGTAAAACAATATGAAGTTTTTACTTCTTGTACATATCTTATTGGAGTGAGTTTTGGTGAAAATTCTGAACTTGTATTAAATTGCATTCACAGGCATTACTAATGGTAATAGTTTGTTCTTATGGTGATAATTCCTGTTCCATAAATGCACAAAATTGTACATGCAATATTATTTTTAATACTGAAATCACTAGAAACTGCCTTATGTCAATCTGTGGTAAGTTTAAAAAAATTGGAAATTTGTAGGCTTGAATACATAGACTGTTTTAGATAAACCATATCTATAGCAATCTAGCTACCTACCTATCTGATAAAATTCAACAAATAATGTAGAATAAAAAAAAACAAGGTAAATCATATTGAATATATTCAATATGATTCCAAAATAATGCTCATGTAGTTGATATATATGTAGATAAAAAATACATTGATAAAAATGAGGGTTGATAGAATAACCTCAAAAATCTACTATCTCCCTTTGTAGAGGCCAGGAGAATGACACTGGGGAAAACAGAGGAGATATATATTTTAATTTTAATTGATTAAAAAAATACAAGATAACACATATTTCAAGATTGTGGAAATAAAATCCTTTTACTAGGAATAAATTTCAACTTTTTCTTTTATCTTTCATGTGAGCTCACTAGCAAAAAAAGTTCTAATAAAGGAAACCCAATCAATGGAGAGTATTAGACCAAACAAGGAGAGAGTCTTAAAATAGATAAACAAACAATTAGTGCTTTTCTCATTAGAAATACCCAAGCACTACATCAATAGCTTTCAGAGTCTAGCTTGGATTTATTCAAGGAGGAAGATTTGAACCATTAAATATGCTTACACAGAGCATGTTTCAAATCATGTAAACAGAACGAAGCAGCTCTATGTAGGGAAAAACCTGCGACTTAAATTTCATTAATTGCTTTGAGTTACTCAATATGTACATATAGTCAGGATGCTTCTTTATTTATTTGCTTCCTTATTTTATTTCAAGTTTCCTCACCCTACAAGGAGACACTAGAGAGCGGGGATCACATATAGGTGCAATATCTAGGGTAACTCAAATAGTAACTGCTTAGTTGTTTAGTTAGTTTATTAGGGATATGAGCTAATTGTTCAAGTACTTTTTAAAAAAGTCTAGCAACAGTACTTTATTATTTTGATATCACCAGAATAAAAAATTAATAAAAATGAAATTAATAAATCTCAGTGTAATTGCAGATTTGACTTCACATCCTCTGGAGAGAAAATGTGATGGCATATCTGATTGGGATGTCATTGCTGGAAGGATCCTTTTGTAAATGATAGAAATCCTTTTGCTGAACCCATTTTATTCCTGGCTTAGACTGTCACTCACATACAAAACTCTTTCTCTGAATCTTTCATTCCATTTTCATACCAACATATTGAAGCTCTAGTTGTTACATAATCACAAATAATGAATCACAGATCCCAGTGAGGTTCCTGTTTGTGGTCGGTTTATCAGTGTTACTAAAGCAGCTAATAGTGAGACACACTGTGCTTTCCTTGACAGAATGGGGTACCTGGATTTCATCCCTGGTTTCCCACTGCTAGGCAGAGGTGCTTTTTCATCCTGAAGGAAGTAATTTTAATGCTCGCCATTAGGTGGCGCAACATTACTTTTGTTAATATTTCTTCCATTCTGGTAATTTAGTGGTAGAAACAAAAGGTGACTTTCCTAGTATTTATTTTGATAAAACACATTTAATAACCAAAATTAAAAGGATAAATCATTATAAGGGAGGGGGAAATTGCCCAACATCGTAGGAATAAATTGCTCCGTATTAGTTTGATACCTGAAGTTGGGGTGGAAAAACATGAAATCTGCCAAGTAAAAGCCATTTCGTGAACAATCTACCCTTAATATGATTGAGACAGTCTGATTTTTTGTCTTCTATTTTACATGGTGATTATGACCCACTTATGAATTCATGATCCCACCCCCAATGGCCTGAAAGTTGTAGTGTGAAACTATTTATCTTTATTAACCTGTTAACCAGTGTAGGAATCCCTCACAGGATCCCGACAGATGATCAGAAAATTGTACATGATGCTTCTAGTTAACCAGAACTTCCTTTGTGTGGGAAAATTCCTACTAGAAGTTGGGAATTACTTTCCAAGTAGTTAAATATTTCCTATAATCTTCAGGAATTGGCCCCAGAGAATATTTCCTTCCTCTTCCTTCTTTTAATTCCTTTGTTGCTTTGTCCCTCTGTTCCTCCTTAAGGTATTTACTAAGCTGCTATTGTATGTCTGACACTGTACTTTGTCTTATGAAATACATTCGGAAATGACCAAACCTTATTCCCCCAGCGTTTTACTCTAGTAGAGGTGTCTGCAATGTGGAAATGGGGTTTACAGGTGAATATTCCTTTGTTTGACAAATAGAGTTAGCCACTTTCCTGCTCATGTAACAGAATTTAGTATTTATATATCTTCTGCTGTTCTTGAATTAATTTTTCTCCCCACATCTTAACATCCACAACATCTACACTTTTTTAAGGCCATCCTTTTTTTTCCCCCTAAATGGAAGAATAATTTACATATAATGAAAAGTGCAAATTTTAAGGGACAGCTGGATCAAATTTAACATATGCATATATCATGTAACATCTCTAGCAAGAGAAAAATGCCTTACATGACCCCACAAGGTTCCCTCATTTTTCTTCCAAGTCAATATCTCCATTATACTCTTTACTTGAAGCAATCATTGATCTGACTTCAGTGGAAATGTCATCATTAATAATTTCTTAAGACCAGACTTGGTTTACTATGCAATCCCTACTTTTCACCTTTGGCTGTAAAATAATCTGTCAAATCTTTTTTAAAGCTTGTTATTTTCACTGTAAAAAGTTAATTTGGATGTAACTTAAATAATTTTAAAAACCAATAATATGTTAAACTTTAAAGCATAGCATATGTAGCTCTATTGACTCATAATGGTGTTTGGAATAAACTAACACTCTCAGGCCTAAAAAATTGTTGTAAAACTATTGCTCATTTTATATTTGTAATATTATAATATAGATGTAAATTCAGAATTTTCCTTTTTTGTTTGTCACAGCTAATGACTTTGCTCATTTCAAAGTATTCTGATAATTAAAAATTTTTTAATCTAATACATTTTAGACAATTTGTTCTCACTTTGTGTCACCTGCAACTTAGTGCCAGAGACAGAGTGGGGAGTAAAACAGGATGATTGATTATAATTCTGCTGAGGGGAGCAGTGGGCAAGACAGGACAGGTCGGCCATGCCATGTGGGTCACCTCCCTGGCCAGGGATTGAATTTGTTTTGCAGTGACTATAAAGAGTTTTATGGTGCTGTGCTTTAACCTGTTGTGCCAGGAAGAACCCATTTTTTTTTTTAAAGCCTCTACATTGAATTTCACCATCTACAAACTCTAAATCCATATTCACAGGTATTTGGAGATGGGATTAGGCATGATCTCTGATTGTCAAGTCAATTCACAGCTAATCAGAGTGTGATTTGTTATGCATTGCCAAAGTGCACTCATAAATGGGAAATGGCATGCATGCTAGTAAGGACTTAGAGCTGTAGAGTTTAATTATATTTAAATTAATGCAAGAAGAGCCTAAAGAACTCTTATTTTTTGACACCAATTAGGAGAGAGAGGTCTCCAAAGAACAAGTTATCTGCTGAAGAAAGACCCATAATTTACTTGACTCTTGAAGTCTACATAAATACTCTAAATTATTTTGACTTTGTTAAAACACAAGGAAAAAAACCTCCACACAACTTCTCTGTATAAGAAGAGCTTAGATTTTGTAAACAAACTGATATTGTGTCTTCCAATTAATCTGAAAAGCACTTGCCTTGAATAAGCCGACTTTGCTGATGATGCTGAAGTTGCTGTCAATGGCGAGGGCTAACTGCATTGTAGCTGGCAGGTTCTCAATCAGATCAGATTCATCTTCATAAAGAAAAGCACATCAAACCGTAAAGTGGAATAATTCATGAGAAAAATCATCAAAGTATAAGAAAATTTAAAGAAAATAAAGGGAAAAATGCCAACTCTTTATAAGTAAATAGTTCCTTCAAATTCTTTTATTTTCATTACTTTTACTGGCCATATGTAGCAATGATCATAGCACTATTACTATCATGAGAGAATAGAAGTATTTTAACTATTGATGGTATATTGAATAGTCCCAAAACACTGTGTTGGCTGAAACTTTAGAAATAAAGTTTAATGATCACAGGACTAAGGCTACCTACAAACTGGGATGGGAAAAGAATCTTGTCTTCTGATTCAAGATTTCAGTCTTTAATTCTTAGGGGCTGAAAATAATAGTGAGTGCCATGTGCTGTTTGAAAGCTTACAAAACTCTGTCATATCCATTATTTCATTTGACCTGGTGACAACCCTAAGTGTAAGTATTTTCATTCTTGTTTTGCAGACAAAAAAAAAAAAAAAAGAATGTAGCTCAGGGAGGCTATGATTTATTCAACTGTGCATAATTTGTTGGTGGTTCAGCTGGGAATGGAATCTAAAAAAGAGTATGCTAAGAGAGTAAACTCACATTGTTATTTACTTGCTTATTAATTGAATGAAGATGTGGATATATTAAAGATTGTCTACTTGTGAATTAAATGGTAGAACTTCAGATGGATGAAATATCACACAAACTGTCCATTTCTGTGTGAAATAAACTGAATTTCTGAGAGTGGATTATTTTTGCTGCTTACTTGTGTCCAATTATAAAAGAAGAAGATGTCTTTATTTTGCTCCAATTTTGATTCTAAATACAAAAACCCTTTCTCTATATGCACAGCTCCTTTTTCTTAGCTTGGTTCACCTTTAGTTCCTTCTTAAACCAAGGAGATGGAGAAGTGTCTTCAGGGGGAGAGAGCAGGTACCAGCAAATTATCCTTTTGCTATCTTTTCTTCTTGAAATGCCCTAAGGAATAGCTGTGTATACTTAAGAGAGCACATTGTCTAGGTTGTGTGGATTCCAAAAAGGTCCTAAACAGACAGCTGGAGTTTCCAGAGTGGCAGAAAAGTGAAGAAAGGGTCACATTTCAACAGCCAGTGCTTTTATCTGCTCTTAGGAACTTTGTGATTTGAGAACAGCAAGGTAATTTGTACTTTCTGGAGGCAGAACCATTTTTGGTTTCTCATTTTTATATGGTAAGGAATAAACTAAAAGTTGAATCTGATTATTGTCAACTAGCACATCATCTTTAATTTACTGTGATCTTTTAAGAAAGGTTATTTTTAACTTCAGTATTGTAATACTAATCATAGGCAACATGAATTATTAAGTCTCTTAGAAGACACTGAGTACCTTGCAGCCGGATAAGGATGGCCTGAAAGATTCCTGCTCTTTCTGAGAATCTTTCTAAATACTGTGCTCCAGATACAAGAGTACAAGTGTTTGCAAGAGAAGAGATGCAGGTCTGAGTTCCATTTAGTTCATGTGCTGGCTCAGTGTCCTTTGCAGAATTTTTCATTTTCATATTTCACATCTTCGAAAAGGGGTTGCTAACCCCTAATTTTCCCAATTCTTTGTGTGTGTGTGTGTGTGTGTGTGTATGAAGATTATATGAAGTAGTGTGTCATAACTAGCATCCGGTAGGCACTGAATATGAGTCAGTTTTGCTTTTCCCAGAATTGTATAGTTATGTCTGGATATTTAAGAAAGACCAAAAAAAAGAACCCACATATCATAGTAAATCAGTGGTGTTCTAAAGACCACTCAGCTGTTTTCTAATCTTTTGCTCAAGCCGACCTCTCTGACCTTAAATTATATTACCTCTACATTTACCTCATAGACTTTCCTTTGTCAGTAATTTGCTATTCTTACCTAGCATTCTTTGAGATTCCCATGTATATTCATACCAAATTCGAACCCGATTCTGCACACTCTTAGGAATGGAATAAGTGTTCATGTAGCCAATGGTATGATCCATGCAGACACGGAAGTTGCTCTGATTGGATGTAGCTGCCCCAATTACATCTCGCATCTAAAACCACAGATATGGTAACTCAACACCTGGCATCTAAATTACATCTCACATCTATATGTAATTTTTTCCAAAAAAAATTACTAAAAGTTCAGCTGAATTAAGAATTCTCACATGATACTTTTCATTTCAGTGCATTGACTACTCCTTTAAATCGCAGATATTGGGTCCTAATTGCAACCATTAACATAAATTGTTGGGCAAATCAGATCCTCTTACTAAGGCAATGTGGAAAAGGCCTGACTTACCTACCACAAGTGGTTTTTGTGAGAACTTAGTCACATAATGCATGTGACTGCACACAATCTTCTTGGCGAACTTGTATGTTGCTGCAAAGATGTTAGTTGATATTTTAGAAATTATAGAGCTTGTGCTTACTCAAGAATGTGAAAAGAAAGCTGAGCAATTACCTGGAAGAATGGCTAGTCCATTTTGGTGAGTCTCACTTTGAAAACATCCTTCATATATTATCTACTGTGGCTGGCTATATAGACTCAGTTCATCATGAAATTGCAACCTCTGTGCTTTCCTTTGTGTTGTTTAGACAGATAAAATCAAATCTTATCGTGCTTAGGGCATAGTATTCAGCAGAAGCTGAAATGTGCTGAAATTACTGAAGCATCATCTACTGCTGTGACAATACTTAAGGAACTGTCAGGTTTTCGTTCTTGGATGTTTATAACTCTGCCATAAAAACCCACTCTAGGTTAAAAGCTGATCTTTAAGGTCTCAGCACAAAAAAAAGATATATAGCTCAACTCTTCCTCTCACATAGAGGGAAGCAAGTGGTTGTAAATTTGGTTTGACTGTGGGTTTATAATAGGGAGGAAAGCCAGGGCCTCACTCTCACACATTTAAGAATTTGCTCATTCACTCTAGTAGCTGAGTCTTTTTTTGCTTATGGAAAAACTACTCCTTTTTTTTTCAGGTCTATTTCAAATGGCTCTTTTATTGCAGTTCTGTCCTCAGTTTCCATTCTAAAAGTTAATAGAATCTTCTACCTACTAAGTGTCTGCAGAACAATGGTGCAGATAGTCAAATTGGATATATGTTTTTCAGTTTCTAACTTAGCCCTCAGTCACTATCCTCAGTATTCTTCCACAACTTCAATTCCTACACCTCCCTTTTCAAAGCTCTTCTTGACAGCTGATGAACATTGCTGAGTTACCTGAGGCTGTAAGTATTGGGCTGGTAGGACTTAGGCTGGGAGATTTAATGAAGTTTTAAAATGGGAAACAAGGACAATTAAAATCACTATTAATCAATGTTTTGAGGACCTACATTTGCAGTGACAATAACCTGAATGATTTATGTAGAATCCTACAGCAACACTGGGTTTTGATGATCTGGGATTTAATGATGTGTATTCTATGATGTGTTCCAGGTGAGGGAAGTATGCGAGGGTGTCCATCTCTATGAGAATAGACTATTATAATTAAAACCTGACAGTGAGATCAGGAGGTAGTACTTGACATGGACTTACGTGGTCATTTTTAATAAGAAGAGATTTTGTTCCAGGATTTCTAACTTTTGTTTCTAAATGTTGTTCTTAGCTTTCATATTCATTATAAGGTACAGATCTGCTTCAGTCTTTTCTGCTCTAGTACCACTTTATCAATGACTTGATTTTTTTTCAGTTTTCTATTAAAACCTCAAATTTAATATAAAGGCAGGTGGGGCATATGTAAAAAAGTAGCACTTTTTAAACTTTCATTAATATATTGAGTCATGAAGATCTTCTAAATATATTGAGTCACGAAGATGTTCTAAATATCTTTCACTCAATAGGTCTTGGATAAGGCTTGAATTGTTAATTTTCCAAGTGATGTTGCCATTGCTAGCCTTTGAGTACCACGATAAATTGAACTCAAGCTTCATAGAGATTTTTAGTCTGGTACTAGGCAACCACAGAACTCCTATACCTCACAGCCTGCTGAAATTACTCCTACCCTCCCACCCTAAACCCACTCATCCCGCCTATTCTATTCCTTCCCTGGTGCTTCCATATGTGGCCCCTTGACCTAGTGTAAGCCCTCCTCTTGGGTCTGTTTATGTAACTTTTTGGGACTCTTCTCAGTTCCAATAGCCCCTCATCTTTTGATCTCACTGTACCTAAGGAATAAGAAAACCCATATTTAAAAACAGGATCACCCCTTCTAAGTCATACTAGATCTTAAATAATTTTTCTTGAATTCCCATGACATTTTGATTAATATTCATTAAATTTGTATATCTTTGTTTCACAACCCAAGTCCTAACTTGGACTTCTCATTGAATTTAAGATAAAATTCAATCTCTTTCATTTAAGTATGAAGTCCTTAAACTATATATATATATATATATGTATGCAGACCTTCTTTTTTATATATATAAACCTTATTTACCAGTGTCCTTCAGTCCAGTCATTCCAATGTTCTTTCTACTTGCTCAAACATACCTATCTATACCTGCTGAATACTATATGGTTTTTACAGGTGTTTTAAGTGCTTTCTCTTCCGTGAAACCACCTGAGAAGCTCACATTTTCAAAACTAATATAGAGCCTTCAAACTCTGCTCTGGTACTTATCATGGATAGAAGATTCTTAATATCCATGGGTGTAGGATTTGAATTTTGACTATTTGTGTTAAGCTTCAGCTGTTGTAAAGAAAATTTTTTATTCCTAAAGTTTGTTAAAGCTTGGGTTTTAGTCATACCATTGTGAGTGTGGTGACAGAGAAACAAATTATCTAGTGGGGATAATCATTTTGTGACTTTTGTCTAACGACACAAACCTCAATGTAACTTTGAATCTCAAACACACAGTAAAATAACTGCAAAGCATAACTTGTGAAGATGCTGTGTTGTCAAGCTTTTCATTTTTGGGGGGCGACTTCTTAAAGATATTGGGCTCTCTCCTTGGCAAATGTCAATTTCCTTCCAAGAGAATTATGTATTATTTATTTATTTATATTTTCCACTAGACTTGATTTTATATTGGTAAGGATATGCTACAATATACATTTGTGAAGCAACTATTTATTAATTAGATTTCTTTATTTTTTATTATTTTTTGTAGTAGAGATTTTATTTTTTCCCTTCCAGTTTTATTTTTTATATCATTATTCATTTTGTGTATTTTTCACCTTTATTGGATTTATTTAGGTAGCATTTGGTAGTGTTTGGCTTAAATGACCCCTGAAGTCAATTTTAACCCACCCACTGATTTATGTTAATAATTACGGGTTGAGTTATTAAGAGAGCTTTTAAAAGTTTTGGGAAGTTTGAAATAAGAAGTTTATAGAAACTTGACTATCTGAGTTTTAAACATACAGGTCTTCTGAAAGATATAATGGTTTAAAAATTGAAAAGCAATGCTGATTCTTTCACATGCTCCTTGATTCATCAAAATAGATGAGTTAGTTACAAAAAGCACTTGATTTTGATTTTTCCTTTGCAGAGCCTACAAACATTGGTTAGCTTTTCAGAAATAACAGCGTAATTCATCTAGGGATTTGTATCTCAATTTACCTGTCCAATTAAGATGGAGAAGACAAACACTCCCAGAAAAAAATTCAACAGTTGAAAAATAATTTCAAATAAAGTCTGTGGTTCTGGAAGGCCTCCAATCGTAATTAAAGATCGAATGGCCCAATAATAACATCTCAGATACCTGTGAAAAGATAAACATTTTGCTTTTACTGTAATATTGAAATGCCACCATGCTTAAGAATACAAAATCACAACACATTTTTTTCCTAATCAACATTTCCTTTCTATAGGTAGCACTAGCAAATGTCATGTGTACTAATGTAAGCTTCTTGATAAACATTGTGAAATAAACAAACAGATTCAGCAAGGCTGTCTAGTCACTGTTCTGTTTATCTTTTGCTGTAAAACAACCCCAAAACTTAATGCTATAAATACCTACTTTATTAGGTTCATAATTCTGTGGATCAAGAATTTGCACAAGGCCCAACTTCTGTTTTCTGAGAGTGACCCTCAATTGGGATAACGTGGATGGTAGAAGATAGCTGAACAGACTTGATTGAAGCCAAATGTCTGCCTGGGTCTTTGATTTTTTTTTTAACTGGGTTCCTCTGTTCTCCACATTTATATGCTTGAAATGCTCAAGATGTTATCTCCTTTCACATGGCAGGAGTCTGGGATAGGATGTTCAGAAAAACTAGGGCTGGTTGGGTATCGTTTTTTTTTTCATTCAGTCTCTCAATAAGAGTAGTGTGGGCTGCCTCACAGCATGGTGGGCTCACAGTAGACAAACTTCTTACATGGTAGCTGGTTTGCTGCAGAGTAGTAGCAGCGCATGCAATAGCTGTAAGTCTTGCTAAAGCACAGAAGTTGAATAATATATATTTTTTAAAGACTTATTTATTTGTGCATACAGAACTGGGGCACAGGCCAGAGGTGCAGGGACAGTGAGAAGATTCACCAGAGACAGAGTGGGGAGCAGAACAGGCAGATCGAGGAAGCACACTGCTGAGGGGAGCA